TGGGCAGGGGACAAGATAGGCAGCCCTGCCCTGTCAGAACTACAAACATGTGAAAGGGCATGGGGCTTCAGGAAATCTGGAAGTTAGTAGAAGGCCTTGGGCATCAACAGAGAAATTCCATACGGGAACACACGCCAGGTGCTTTGGTGCAAAAAAGGGTGGCTGTCCTCTGGCAATGTTCTTCAATTTGCAGGCCAGAGGCTCAAGCACACAGGTCAGGTTGCCAAGCAAGAGGCCAGCCTTAGGTCCTTACTCTGTCCATGAGAACAGGAAATTCTGGAGGGCTGGAGGAAGGCACCCTGTGGGACAGACATGAATGTGACCTGAGTCTTGACGTGCTGGACCCTTAGCACCTGGAACTCTTCAGGGTCCTGTGCCCGCTGAGGCTCTTCTGAGGCATGGAGGGACTGAGAAGTTTATCACATGACACATCAGCACCTGGCATTTACTTGGCACTGGGTGGTGGCCATCCCTAGCCTGGCAATAATGAGGTGGATAACAAGGGTGAGTGTTCCTGAACCTGGGACTGTAAGTTTTCTTCTAATTGTATCCTTCTTGATGTCTCTGGAGGCCAGATGAGAACCCGGGGTTGTGGTTACGAGAGAGCATCACAGACACACTCGAGTTCTAGGGCTCAGGTCAGCACAGAAAGTGTCCAAAGGGTAAAGCATGAGAAGACACAGAACTCCAGCGTTGGTAGATATCAGAGGTAAGTTACAGAGGGGCATGAGAGGTCAGGGGACATGGACAGAGGCCCATGGACACGGTAACATGAGAAGACAGTGGACATCAGAGGTCACTGGACTTGGAGACAAGACCCATCAGAGGACAGGGTGACATCAGAGGTCAGTGAACATAGGGATCTCAGTGTTCAGAGGACATGTGCGTTTGTAGCCCTGCTCCAAACCCTTCCCTCAAGGTGCCAAGATTGGGCCCTCTCCTGAGTCACCTCAGTCCACACTCTGCCCCTAAAAATCCTGTTCTTGGAGGCTTCACCTCTCAGAGGACATTAGAAGTCCCCACCTCAGGGTTCACTCATGGTTCTTGGATTTCTGTTCCCCTGGGCTGACCCAGGAATGCTTTGCAGATGGGATCAATTGCCTACAGTGAGACATTGTGTGGTCAGAGAGAGAGAGAGAGAGAGAGAGAGAGAGAGAGAGAGAGAGGGCGAGAGAGAGAGAGAGAGTGAGAGAGAGAGGGAGAGAGAGGGAGAGGGGGGACGGGCAGGCAGACAGGCAGAAAGACAGACAGACAGACAGACAGACAGACAGACAGACAGACAGACAGAGTATGGTTTATGTTTGTTCTTGGGTCCCTCAGCTGTGAGTAGTCTTCTCCATCCCATCCAGGGAACCCCTTGTGAGAAGAGGCAGCAATGCGGGCAAGAGCCTGAGGGGATGGAGGACACCAGGAGAAAAAGACCCTCCAAATCAAGTGAGCAGAGTTTATATGAACTCACACAGATGAAACAGGAGACACAGGTGTAATCCACTATCCTTTGTGTCACCATCTCCCACAAATTGACACAGAGACTCATAATTAATCATGAAACCCGGGCCTTGGCTAAGCTTTTTCCCAACTAGCTCTTATACCTTAAATTAACCTGAAATTATTATTATATCACATGCCTCAGGTCCCTCTCCTCTGAAATATATGTCTGACTTCCTCAGTGTCTTACTGGTTGGTGTCTCCTAAGCACCTTAGTTCCTTACTCTGCCCAGAATTCCTGTATTTTTGACTATTCAGATCTTTATTAAACCAATCACAGTGATACCTCTTCACACAGTATAAACATATATACATTCACACACACACACACACACACACACACACACACTGTGATGGAATTGAGGAGGTCAGGAAAATTTTGAGGGAGTTGGTTCTCATTCTGCTGTGAAGTTCCTCGGCATTGAACTCAAATTGTTAGGCTTGACAGCAAGTGCCTCTACACCTGAGCCATCTCACCCTCTCCCTTTATCTGTGTTTGGAAGGAGCTGTTGTGAGTATGCACTGAAGAAGGTCGATATGTGATGTTTACTATGAACTCAGGCAATAACATATTTGAGTTTCAGTACGGTGTGTTTGTCTTCCATAATAATTCACAGGGAGTTTTATTGAAAGACCCCCACTATGCTTATTGCCTGTTTAAACTGCTCTTGCTAATTTGCCAGGGTCAAGTTATGAGAAAAGTACAGGAGGGAACCAGGTGCTGCTCTCATCCAACGCCAACCAGGTATCTGTGGTCTGCAGCTTGGACCAAAGCAAGGTCAGCAGGACGGTATCCGGGATGCTGAGAGAGTCATAACTGACTTCTTTGTATTCTTTGTGCCCAACCCGAATAACCAACTGTCCTTTGGTTAACTACAACTGCTACATTTAGATGAAACAATGAAATCCCTGTAGCCATGCTTCTGCTTCTGTAAGGCTGCTTCTTCTGGCCACACCAACCCTATATAAACTGCCTGAGTTTTAACCTCAGCACGCTCAGTCCCGCGAAAGACTGAAGCGTCCACAGGTACCTGCGTGTAAACAATAAACAACCTCTTGCACTTGCATCCAGTGTTCTGGTCTCGTCTCTTGGGGGCAAGGGCCTTCCCCCTGACAGGCTCCAAACTCTTGGGGTCTCTTGGGGGTCTTTCATTATTAGTGGCCAAAGCGAGCCCAGTCATGCTAATTCCTGAGTCCCTTTGGCCTGGACCTAACTCGTGGTCTCGATAGTTCCCCATACTGTAAATGTACGTTGAATGTTACCCGAATTTGTTTCGTTTTTAGAGCTGAGCACTAAGTATGAGTATGAGATCATTAGTCAGATATTCCTCCCAACAAAGTACTAATTCACCTTCTCTCAGGAGATGTTAAAGTCTTGTAGTAATTCTTTGTCTTAGAGTGGGACTCTGTGATATTTCTCCAGTTCAGATTTGAAGGGTGAACTGATGCTATCAGTTTTCAGATCTTTGTTATGCAAGTATGGTACTGAAATTTCATAGATACAGCTTCGATGGATTTTTCCTTCATAATTTGGCTTCCGTTGTGCGCCGGGCCTCGTGTGCGTAGCAATATTCCCTCCCAGCGTGATCGAGGGTTTATATTTTTGTCAGCTTTGCTAGTTTTAAAGGTGCAAGTGTTATTTAGGATGGCATTGGAGGATGGAGGATGATTTTTGTTTCAGTCAAGAGGGACAAACACCGTGGCTAGCTCAGCACCAAGGACCTCTTGCAGGGGGTGGAGAAGCAAAGTGCCACAGCACGGGCGAGTGCCTAGGGGCTTAAATTTAAAGGCATGTTCTGGTTAGCTGTCATGTTGTGCTACCTGCCTGTATGCGAGCATTTTTGCCAGCAGGTGATTTTCCTGTGATTTCATGCCATGCATGCTTCCTGTCCAGGAGGAGGCATCAGCATCCCCGCATGGAAGGTAGATTGTATCAGTGAGCTCACATTCCCCACAGGCTAGAGCGTAGACCCTCACGTGCGGATTCCTTCCTGAGTGCTGCGCTGCGCTGCGCGCGTCCTGCGTCATAGATGATTCATGAGTGGGCGGGCGTGGTCTCGCGCTCCTGCTTCCGCCTCTGCTTCCGGCTGGGCAGGGGCCATCTTGTTCCCTCGCTGAGGAGGAGGTCTGTCCTCCTGTGGAGGCAGTTTCCAGGATCGCAGCAGGCCGGGGACCTGAAGGTGGGGCCTGTACTCGTCTGGGGCCGGGTCTTCGGGGAAGAGGAAGTAGGGAAGAGCGTGGCAGGCAAGGGGGTTCTGCTGGGTGGGCGGGCGCAAACCGCCTGTGGCGGAGGCTTCAGCGGCTGTCGGAGGAACCCCGGGCCGCTTGTTGGAGCGGGCGGCCTGGAGGGAGGGACGTTCCAGTGAGAGGATTTATAGCAGGTTGAGGAGCCCACTTTTACCTCACTACCTTAGATTCAGGGGCACAGGAAGGTAGTTGGTGGTTTCTGTGAGTTTGTGCACGGAGTACAACTCAGGGCCTGGATGGAGTAGGACTCAGGGCCGCGCTGAGCAGGCCGATTACCTGTGTGCGCGTGCCGGTGTGCGTACCTGTGCGTGTGTGTACGTGTGCGCGTGTGTACCTGTGTGCGGGCCAGTGTGTGCCTGGGTGTGCGTGTGAGTACCTTTGAGCGTGCCTGTGCTCGTGTGCGTGCCTGTGTTTTTGTGAGTGTGTGTACTTGTGTGTGTGTGCGCGTGCCTGTGTGTGCCTGGGTGTGTGTGTGCGCGCGCTGGTGTGCCGTGCCTGTGCGCGCATGTGTGTGTTCCTGTGTGTCTGCCTATGCGTGCCTGCCTGTGTTTGCATCTGTGTGTGGGTGTGGATATCTGTGTGTGCCTGTGCATGTGTGTGCATGTTCCCCCTTTCGTGTGTGTGTGTGTGTGTGTGTGTGTGTGGAGAGACAGAGACAGAGAGAGAGAGATCTGTGTGTGTACATTTCATGAATCTTGTTGCCTTTCTCAACTCTGACATCACCTGACCTTAAAAGAGCACTTAAGAGTCAAGCCATTTCCCTTAAACAGAAGACTGCATCTCCTTTTCTAAGATAGCTCCCAGGTTTCATTGTGCCATCCGGCACTTTTCAGTTTGCCGTTCCAGCTCTCCCCATGAAACTCAAAGGATCACATATGTGAAAGGAACTCTTGAAATACGCAGTCCAGCCACACTTTTCATGTTCCAGCCCAGATTCAGTCAGAGCCTGCACAATTCCTATCTTGCCTCAAGAACTTTCCTTGGGTGGCTTCAAAAGCAGACTTCAAAATACATAGAACTTGTTTTTAGTTACACTAAAAACTTTAGGATCCAGTTAGTGTCAACTACTGGATCTTTCCTGTGCCTCTCAAGAGTTTGGTTTCCCCATTGAGCCCTTAAGCTGCCTTACTTTGTCAGGATCCATCCTGTCTTTCTCCTCTGTCAGAAAAGGAGAGTAGTAGCAACTTAATTTCTCCCTGTGTTGCCAGCATAAACTTCCTGCGCACGTGTGCCTCATTGCTGATAACCCCTTTACCTTCAGATAGCCAGCTCGATGTTGTCCAAGAAACGCAGAGTGTCTGGACCGGACACGGAGGTGGATTCTTACTCGTCTCCTACACCCCCTGGGTCAACCAAAGTGAGTATCTGACTTTACAGGCTTTCAGGATGGAAACAATAGGTGGAGGGTGGTAAAGTACCTCATATTTTTTTCACATGGCCAGCCCCCATTACCCTTATCTCTCCTGGAACTCCGTGTTGATTTTTAGGGAACGTCAGAAGACAAGGACATGGACATCGATGAAAGCCTCTACTCTCGTCAGCTGTGAGTAGTATCCTAGGGCAGGAGATGCAGAGTGGAAGGAGACAGGGTGGGTCAGGCCCTAACGTGGAGTTCTTTGCCGACAGGTATGTACTAGGTCATGAGGCAATGAAGCACCTCCAGAATTCCAGTGTACTGATATCAGGCCTGCGAGGTCTGGGTGTGGAAATTGCCAAGAATATCATCCTTGGTGGGGTCAAGGCTGTCACTCTCCATGACCAGGGCACTGCCCAGTGGGCTGATCTTTCTTCCCAGGTATCTCGTTTTGGCTTCTCCTTGTCTAGGACCCAGCTTGTGCACTGCCTGTGTTTTCAGCACTGTCATCCTCCATCCTTTCTGTAGTTCTACCTGCGTGAGGAAGATATTGGCAAAAACCGAGCTGAGATATCCCAAGCTCGCCTTGCGGAACTCAACAGTTACGTGCCTGTGCATACCTACACTGGAGCCCTAGTCGAGGACTTCCTGAGTGGTTTTCAGGTATCCCCAATCTTCCTGCCTTTTTCTTTCAGCTTTGTTGTCATTTGGGCGGCCTCGGTGTGTCAGACTTTGTGCTGGGAAACTAGGAGGTGAAGGCAGTAGTTAGAGCTCCCCAGAGGGGCAGATTCGCTTGTACAAGGGCTCTGAAACAAAGCACCTGCATGTGTAATTCTCAAGCCTTGCACAAGCAGGTGTAATGAGAGGAAACTCAGGCTGACTGGGTTGTCAACTGTCGCTGTGTATACCCTGGCTGTAGGTAAATTAACTTAGCCAGCTCAGACCTCGTACGTGCAGCACTACTATTATATTTGTTGTGTTTGGGAGTGTGTTTTTTAAAGCTTTTCTCTGTCCCTTGAGTGTGTCACCCTTGAGACTTGTGTGTTCACATGGAGAAGGCTGAGCCCGACAAGCGTGGGTGTTGTTTTCTTCCCCCTTCTCCTTCAACCTTGTCAGCTTTTATGTTTCATTCTCTCCCTCCACCCCAAGCCTGAGCCTGTTGGTCTTTACAGGTGGTGGTTCTTACCAATACTGCTTTAGAATATCAGCTGCAGGTGGGTGAGTTCTGTCATAGCCGTGGAATCAAGCTGGTGGTGGCAGACACTCGGGGCCTAGTTGGGTGAGTTCTTGCCTCTTCCTTGTCTGACTTCCACTGGATGTGGGCGGGCGGGGTGTCTTCCCAAGCCTTCAGGTCCTCCTCCACCAAACACATCTGCATTAAGCTTTTGCTTTGTTTTGCTTTGCTTTGCTTTTCCTGTGCGGTATGAGCATCATCTGATCTGCTCCAGTACCTTGAGAGCTGGAAGGCCCTGTGCTTAGTCCAAAGCTCCTCTCCTGTTGCCTCCCTCCCTAGACAACTGTTCTGTGATTTTGGAGAGGAAATGATTCTCACTGATTCAAATGGGGAACAGCCACTCAGTGCCATGGTTTCCATGATCACCAAGGTAAAAGGACGCCAGCCCCATAGGTTCTAATGCGGAACTGGGTGGTAATTGTCCTTTCTTTTCTCTGCTTTTCCTATTTTCTGCACGCCTTCCGTTTTCTCTCCCCTCTCCTCCCTTTCTTTCTTTTCTTGACGTTTCCTTTTCCTGTCCCTCTCATTTCATCATTCTTTCCGCACCCCAGCCCCTCCCCACCCAGCCCTCCCCCCCTTCAACCCCCCACCCCCACCCCCCTCCTGACTGTTGAACTAGGGGCCTGTCACTAAAACAGTTGAGTAGCCTGCCACCCAGGTAATACTGTTAGCCACTAGTTGACCTTACTTGCTGTCAGCATGCCCTAGCCTGCAAATCCTGCTTGCTGTTTGCTTTGTTTTTGTTGTTTTGTTTGTGTTTTTGTTTGAGACATTCTCAGTAATGTAGCTGAGGCTAGCCTTGACTAGAGGGTGACCTTGCTGCCTTTGCGTCCTTAGAGTTGTGACTAGGAGCATGCTGCTTAACTCTTACTTTTCTTTCCGAATCAGGAGAGTCCGGGGGTCGTCACCTGCTTGGAGGAATCCCATCACGGATTTGAGAGTGGTGACTTTGTCTGTTTCACAGAAGTTCAGGGCATGAGTGAACTCAATGGCATCGGTCCCATAGAGATCAAAGTTCTGGGTATGGCAAGCCCAGGGAAGGAGGTTGAGAAGTGGTAGTACAGAACAAAGGGAAAAGTGGCTCTCTGTGATATGGGCTGTCTCCGAAGCCAGGAGATCCACTGTAGAGCTTGCCAGGTACACTGGGCTTATCTCAGACTCAGCATTGACTTACCTCTGCCTGCCCCCAGAGTGCTGCGATTGAAGCCATGTGCCACCTGGTGAAACACTGCCTTTAACTTGTGCCACCCCGCCACAGCCCTCCCCCATTGTTGCACTGCTGTTTGTCAGACAGCCCAATCATTCTTGGGTTTACTCCCTTTTGATTTTCTGGGATGTAGCTTAGGCAAATCCTTCCTAGTACATAAGGCCGGTAAACTAGGTTCTGATACACTAGGGCCTGGAAGGATGGCTCAGTTGTCAAAGAGTGCTTGTTCTATACTCCTCATGACAGGATTTGGATTTAGACACAGCCTTGTAAAATGCTGTTTCATGGTAGGACACGGCAGTACCTATGGTACTGTAGGGAAACCCTAGCACCGGGGAGGTGGGAGGGGCAGATGATCCTGATGGGGTCACCTCAGCCATCCTACCTGCTTCTCTGAGAAAGTAACTGGAGGTCATAAGGTGGTGATGGAGTTGAGGAGAATCACCTACAGTTCTTTAAAACGGCTAGGGTATGCAGTTGGCCAATAGAGTGGATCCCCACAAAGGCGTGAAACTAACACAGCTCCTGTGAAGATAATGTCCCTTAAATTAAGAAAAGTAGGAGAGGCCTGTGACCTCAAATGCCGTCAAAGTAGCATGATGATGTGTGGTACTATTTGTTACATGCAAGGTATTTGTGTTATATATTTGATGCTGGCTTTCATTGCACTGGCATGCTGAGCTTCATCCCTAAAAGATTTAACAAGTTAACCTTGGGACTCAACTCCTTTCTGTGGCCCAGACTTGGGTGAGTGGGATTACTAAACACTCAAGGAGGTCCCATATTTTCTGGCATGATTTCTGCACAGGCTGGGACCTATATGATCAGTCATCGATGAGACAGGACTGAAGGCTGTCTAAAAGTTGTATGTAGCCTTCCAGTGGTCCTGGGCTCTGTGAATAGAAACTGTTTGTCACAAAGGGAAACCTGGCTCTCAGGAGGTAGATGCAGGAGGATTAGGTATTCAAGCTCATCCTTAGCTACAGAATAAGAGCCAGCCTGCGCTATAGAAACACTAGTCTCCAAATCAAGCAACAGACATTGACAATTGCTTTTGTGTGAACATGGACAGGTTTTTGGTTTTGTTTTTTTTTTCTTCTTGTCACTCACTAAGTAGGAGTAACACAGTAGTGGACATTAATACACCAAGTAGGTCACAAGTACCTAGTTTGATTCCCAGAACCAGTGTTGGATAACACACATGCTATGGCTTGCATCTCTAAGCATAACTTTTGGAAAATGGAGACAACTGGATTTCTTTTTTACTCTTGTTTTGTATTTACTGACGTGTGTGTGTGTGTGTGCGTGCGCACGCGTGTGTGTGTGGTGTCGATGGTTGTGTTTCTGTCTGTCAGGTACGGTAGTGTGTCTATGTGTGACTTTCTGTGTCTATGTCTCTGTGTGTCTCTCTGGGGCTGTGTGGTTGTGTATGTGGTGTCTCTGGTATGTGTTTGTATACGTGTGTCAGTGTGCGTGTGCTTACCTATGTGTGTGTGTGTGTGTGTGGTGTCGAAGTGTGTGTTTCTGTCTGTAAGCTACGGTAGTGTGTATGTGTGTGACTTTCGATGTCTATGTCTCTGTGTGTGTCTGTCTGGGGCTGTGTGGTTGTGTCTGTGTGGTGTGTGTCTGTATATGTGTGTCAGTGTATGTTTGTGTGCTTACCTATTTCTGTGTGTGTGTGTTGGGATGCCTTGGTACAGACACATGGAGCTTCCATTGTAGTTTCTGCATCTAAACCAGAATCCTGTCTTCTGGGAAAGCAGGGAGCACTTGGAATCATTGAGTCAAATTGTTGGTCAGAAGGGGAATACTGTTCCCTCCCATGTTTTTTTTCCCCCTCTGTGTTGCAACAGAAACAAGATGTGTCAGCACCCAGAGTCTGAGGCCAGAGAAGTGAGATTGAGATCACTCTGCTTGCTTTGGGGAGCTGCCTTTGAACTCTGAATCCTCCTGAGTTGACTTCTGGCATTCTGGGATGAGAGTTGTATACTCCAATGCCTTTGGTGGGCGTGGTTTTTGCTTGGCTTCGTTGTTGCCCTGGTTTTCCCCCCCAACCTTCCCTGTCCCTCCCCCACTCCTCTGAGTAAAGCTTGCTGTATAAAACATACAACTAAGGTGTTAGGCCTGTAGTGTCAGGTTTTTGTGCTTTGGATTAGTTGGTGCATTGATCTTTGGAGAGTGGCTGAGGCACTGCATGGGCTGGCAGTCTTCTCCATCTTTTTCATCTTTCAGGTCCCTGCACCTTTAGCATCTGTGACACATCTGGTTTCTCTGACTACATCCACGGAGGCATTGTCAGTCAAGTGAAAGTATCTCAGAAGATCAGCTTTGTGAGTAGGTGGGGAAGGGTTGTGGGTAGATGAACTCATGTTTTGGGGATTCCTAGGTGGTTCACATCTGGTCTTGATGATCCATTTTCCACAGAAACCACTACTCGCCTCCTTGACAGAACCAGATTTTGTGGTAGCAGATTTTGCTAAGTGTCGTCACCCTGCTCAGCTGCACATTGGTTTCCAGGCCCTGCATCATTTCTCTACTGAACATGGCAGGCTTCCTCGGCCCCATAATGAGGTAAATGTGTAGAAAGCCAGCCAGACACCGTGGCGTGTAGTGCCTAGTCTCCCTGCAGTAGGGTATGATAGATACTCTCTTGGTTCCTTGTATCCAACCAGGAGGATGCAGCAGAAATGGTGACCTTAGCACAAGCTGTGAACGCTCGAGCATCGCCAACAGTTCAGCAGGATTGCTTGGACATAGACCTCATGCGGAAGCTGGCACATGTGGCTGCTGGGGATCTGGCACCCGTGAATGCCTTCATTGGTGGTTTGGCTGCCCTGGAGGTCATGAAGGTCAGCAGGAGTGGGAAGGTGCTGTGCCTTGCTGAAACCATCTCTGCCCCTTAGTTGCAGTGGCTGCTGACAAGGCTCTTTTCCCAGGCTTGTTCTGGGAAGTTCATGCCCGTTAAGCAGTGGCTGTACTTTGATGCCCTTGAATGTCTCCCTGAGCACAAAGTGGCTTTCATGGAAGATAAGTGCCTGCCGGTAGGTCAGTGGGAACAGTGGGACTTTGGGAACGTCTTGAGGGGAGCCTCTGTCTAACCTGCCTTTGTTCTCGTAAATCTAGCGCCAGAACCGTTATGATGGGCAAGTGGCTGTATTTGGATCTGACTTCCAAGAGAAGCTTGGCAAGCAGAAGTACTTCCTGGTGATTGACACTAATGGATTCTCTCTCCCTCTCTCTGTTTCTGTCTCTCTTACTGTTGTTCCCTCTCTGACACTCTCAAACCCCCCGTCTCTCTCCCTATCCCCACGCACTCTCTCCCCCTCTCTCCCACATCCTTTTGAGGAGGGAGGGGTCTTTTGGTTTTGGTATCCTGGTCACATCACCATGTTGAGGATATGCCTGTGCATCTCTGTTTTTCCTTTGTTTCCTCCTCCCTCAGTTACCCATAGGATTTTCCAGCCCTGTGACTTTGTGGTGTTACGTGGTGTTACGTGTGCTTTCACGTGGGCACTCACTGTTACTGATTAGACTGTGTGCCTACTTCCAGGTAGGTGCGGGTGCCATTGGCTGTGAGCTGCTCAAGAACTTTGCCATGATTGGCCTTGGCTGTGGGGAAGATGGAGAAATCACAGTTACAGACATGGACACCATTGATAAATCAAATCTGAACCGACAGTTTCTCTTCCGACCCTGGGATGTCACAGTGAGTACCATGAGGTGGCTTTCTCTTTGCTTTGGTACTAACCTAATGACCTTTATGTTTCAGCTTTCTGTGTCCTACATTCGTTCCTACATTTCAGTCATTCAGGTGTGAGATCAGTAGACGTTATTACCTGTCACATTGTTTCATTGGCCTGGTTTTCCCTCTTAGCAATCTCAAGATTGATGCCTGTTTATTTCAGATGTGACCTTGGGAGATGGGGTAATACAAGCATACCTGGGAATTGTCTAAAGGTCGGTGTTCCCTTGACTCGCTGCTCATAATGCGCTTCTCCCTAGCTTCATTTTACACTGTGCATTCTAGACCCTGGATTTAGAAAACAGAAGGTAACAAAAGAAATGTTCCTGGCCCCATGTAATGGGTGTAGTGCAGCAACAAGAGAAATGTTCCTGTCCTTCTCTAATACGGTACAAGGGAGCAGTTTCCTGAAGCCTCTTGATGTCCTCTTCCTGTAACACGTGTACCGACTCTGCAAACCCAGTAATATCTTAAATGATCTTAGATACTATTTGTCTTTCCTTACCCAGATTGCTCCATCAGTGGAAAGGAGAAATTTCTTCCATACTTGTGGGATGTCTTTCCTAGTTCTGTGAAGGAATTTTCCAGAGATGATTGGGTTGTGATGACATACATACGTATGTAAATGATAAGGTCAGACAGGGCAGGCTTTGTGGCACTTGCCTCTAGGTAGACTTCCATCATGGGGAGACCGATACCTCTGAGGTTATGACCAGCCTGGACCACAGGACAAACACAGTAAGCAAAAGCTAGCCTGGCATGGCACAGGTACCGAATGTACAGCAAAATAGAACTTAAAAAATAATAACCTCAGGAGATGAATAATGTTCTATGTTTGTAGATCCCCTTCATAGTCTTTAAAGTAATAGAAAACGGATTTAGGACTTTAGGAATGCCATGGACATAAAACTACATCTGTTGTCAGGTAGTATGTACACGAATTTTACAAATACACAGATTTGTAAAAATCTGATGTGGTGTGACTCCTCAGGGAAATTGTGTGTTAGAAACATTATTCATGATAAATGCTTCCTATTTATCTTGACATCCTGTGCTAAATGGACTCATGCTTTAAATAGTCTGCTTGAAGTTCTAACATGGTGCCCAAAGCTCGTCGTTTGAAGAATGTTCTTAGCACATGTTTGACTACTGTTGTAGTGAGTGAGTACATGGATGGGGACTATGGTTAATATTAGAATGTCAAATGTGTAAGAGAAGTAACAATTGGGAATGTCAGAGGGGGCTGGTTTTCAGGGCTTATGAAGACTTCCCCCCCCAGGGAAATTGGCATTCCAGGAATGAAAGGGGTATGTGGACGAACACGTAACCACGCAAAAAAGTAGTGGAAGCCTGAAAGAGGTATGAATGGGGCTGTGTGATGTTAAAGAATAGAGAGTCCAGGCAGATGAGGTCACAATCGGTTTATACCGTAAATGAAGTGGGACCAGAGGAGGATTTTGAGCAGTGGTATGTGACTCAGACTTTCAAAGAACCTTCTTGTCTGTGGTTTTAGTTAGGTTATTCTGGATGTAGTTAACTGAAAAACCAGTAGGTGTTAGGCCATTCTGACCCCTTGTTTCTTCTTTCAGTTTTTCTTTCTACTCACCTTTAGAATTTGAATGTGCTTACACACTAAAATATAAACACCACCAGCAACATACCCACGTACACACACACACACACTCACTCACTCACTCACTCATTTATGATCTAAGAAAATACCAACTTCAGGAGACTCAAAATAGCCTGTATCCAAATTTCTTTTATAATTCTTAAAGCACAAGAAAACAGAGACTCACTCCTGTGGATAATAGGAATACTTAGTGCTGTCATAAAAGAGCATTCTTTGGTCCCTAACCTCCTTTACAGTATCCCCCCTCCCCCCACAGGTGGTATTTACATAATTGGAGCCTGCTTCTCATTGAGCCTTGTTTTGCTCTTCATGAGATAGATGTCTCCCCAGATCTCTCGATGGAGTTGTTGTGTGTCAGTGCACGGGAAACAGCTGTGTTCTCCATATTTCTACACAGAAATTAAAATCTGAGACTGCTGCTGCTGCGGTGCGTAACATAAATCCACACATCAGGGTGTTGAGCCACCAGAATCGAGTGGGCCCAGAGACAGAACACATCTACGATGATGACTTCTTCCAGAACCTGGATGGTGTGGCCAATGCTCTGGACAATTTGGATGCTCGTAAGTATGGAGTCAAGTGAAGACAAGAGGTAGGGGTGTGTGTGTGTGTGTGTGTGTGTGTGTGTGTGTGTGTGTCTGTGTGAGTGAGCACACATGTGCTTGTGTGTTTTATGATGTTCTTGTGTTCCTGTGTTTACTCTAACATTCCTGCTGCTCACCTGCCAATCCCCCCCCCCATCCGTCTCCCTGAAGGTTTATACATGGACCGCCGTTGTGTGTACTACCATAAGCCTCTGCTGGAGTCAGGCACAGTGGGCACCAAGGGCAACGTGCAGGTGGTTGTTCCCTTCTTGACAGAATCCTACAGCTCTAGCCAGGACCCACCTGAGAAATCCATCCCCATCTGCACACTGAAGAACTTCCCCAATGCCATTGAGCACACACTGCAGGTGATCAACCTTGGGAGGAATGGGAGGCAGAAGGGTTGGTTAGTCAACAGGTCACCAAGCCTCTGCCCTTCCCAGCCTCCAAATTCCCGTTTGCTCTGTGCTGTGTGCTGTGTGCTGTGTGGTGTGTCCAGAACACGTGCCTTGACTATACCAACACCCAGAGTACCTACCAGCGACTCCTTTCTTCTGAAAAGAACTTCACATTCGCTCACATCTTGAGTGTGCTGTCAGAGTGTCTGAGACCTTACGAATGTCCACCCTGTTGTAACTAGCAGACATGGTTCTTTTGAGGTCCTTGTTCACTTCTGGTAACAACACTCACAAGATTGCACAAGTTCAAACCAGCAAAACCCCAGCACAAAGTAGGGGAAGCCCTCACACAGCCCGCACCACCACCAAACGCACCCCCCAGTCAAGATAGGATACCTGCTCATAAAGGGAAAATGTGTTGTCTAGACTTGAATGTTATGGTGTATACCGACCACATTCTAGGGAAGGTCTCTGCCTAGGAGGAGATGGCTGAATGGACATGCTGTTTTTCTTGGATACTTTTGGTATTTCTTGTCTTGCTAATGGGCTTTGCTTCTTCCTCTCTTTGTTATGACTTCACATTTATTGTGCTTTCTTGAGAGAGGGGTGGGGAGTAGAGGGACAGGAGAGAGAGAGAGAGAGAGAACATGAGTTAAGTGGGTAGGGAGTTCAGGAGTTTCTGGGAGGTGTTGGCACAGGACAAAAATATTGTGTGAAAAGGATACAATTGAAGAGCCTTGAGCTTTTTTTATTTTAGAAGGCGTTAAGAGAGCATCATTAAACCTGTGTCTGAACAGTGAGAATGATCTATGTAAACAGTGCTTGCAAAAAAGAAAAAAGAAGAAGCAGCTAATATCGTCTACTGATTTCATTTTCACCTGTAATAATGAGTGCATTTTTGGCTTGATTAAATCCTACTCAGATATGTTAAGCAGCTAGCTGGTTTGTCAGTGTGGCTTCTGCCTGTACAATCAAGTATATAATTTCTGATGTCCTTGGATGGAAAGTTGACCCAAAGCCTAGTCCTGCTTCTGTTCTTTCAATTCAAGGAGAAACCTGTTTTGATTTCTCTTGGCTCATAGGTTTGTAGTGTAGTCTATTAAGGACTTGCTAAGGAGTTGGAGATCAGGAGGAAATCCATTGTGGAGAGCTTCAACCGTATTGCGGTGCCGTATTCTTTGCTACAGGTTATGGAATTGTTCTCCGAGTCTGCACAGCAGGCAGAGAGGCACAAAAGGTTTCAGAATGTGTTCGGTGCATTTTTTAGGAGCACTCTCTGTTCTGTAGATGAGATTCCTCATGTGAAAAAAAATGTGCATTGAAGTCGTGCATAGTAGTGAAGTAATATCTACCAGAGATTTTGTAAAGCATTTAGTTCTGGATACGGTTTTGTCATATACATCGCAGGACTTTAGCACTGGGTCTGCAGTTGGCACTGTCCTCAGTAATGCGGTAGGTGTATGCTCATCCACTTTGATGAGTGCAGCTACTACAGTTACATGAGAGGCTGTAAACTGAGATGGGTACAGGGGTGTTTATTCCTTTGCTGTGGGTCATAAGACTAGGTAGGTAGTATGTGTGACAGTTAGAATTCAGAACCTGAATGCACTAGTTAGAATTCAGAACCTGAATGTACTCTCCACCCAGAGCAAGCTCTACTATCTGGTAGCCTCACGGATATGTACAGAACCTTTGTTGACTGGCATTTGTTTACTCTTGTCTGTAGTGGGCTCGGGATGAGTTTGACGGGCTCTTCAAGAAGTCAGCACAAAGCGTTAACCAGTACCTCACGTAAGTAACAGACACTGCCTTGCCAGCCAAGTAAGGCATCCTGCCTTGTGTCCCTCAGGCAAGTGGATGAGCTGTTTGATGAGTTAATGGTTGCTGTGGGAGGTGGTCAGGGCTGACTTTTCCATGGAGAAAGGAGGCTTGTCCAGAAACCTTATTTCCAGGCCTCTGAAATAATCCAGCTCTATGTGTTGGACAGAGATCCCAAGTTCATGGAGCGCACACTGCAGCTGTCTGGCACCCAGACTTTGGAAGTACTGGCGGCTGTACAGCGTACCCTAGTCTTGCAGAGGCCAAACACTTGGGCTGACTGTGTGACTTGGGCCTACCGGCACTGGCACACCCAGTATTCTGACAACATCCAGCAGTTGCTGCACAACTTCCCTCCAGACCAGGTATCACAGATGTGATGGGTCCATTTGGCCAAAGGGCTTCCTGGAAATTGGATGGTTACTGACCCGTGGAGAGCTGCTTGCAAGCGTCCTACAAGTACTTTATGCGCACCCGTTTGTGTTTCCCTTCTTGCCGTCCCACAAGGAAGGGGCTTAGGTTCCTTTCTGCCTGCACTTGTTGTGGGCTGAGGCAGGTCAGATTGCTCAGGATGGTTGTGGTGACAAGTGAGACATCTATGGTTAAGCATACAGCAAGCTGTGGGTTCAAGTCCAGGAGCCTTTGATAGTGGGTCTTGTTGGGTGTAATGCCTTGATACGCCATATCGGTGAAATCAGTGCAATAATGGCGAGTGGTAGTTTAAGAAGAATTAATGTGCACAAATTCATATTGCATGAGTTTAGTACCTCATATAAATCAATAAGTTTAACTCGCTCTGTGTGTGTGTGTGTGTGTGTGTGTGTGTGTGTGTGTCACTCAAAGGGTGGTGAGCATATGCTTCTCGGCCCAAGGATTGCTGGAGAGTTCCTTCTCTCCCAACCCTGTCCTTAACTTTGCATTCTCTTAGCTGACAAGCTCTGGTGCACTCTTCTGGTCGGGGCCAAAGCGCTGCCCACACCCGCTCACCTTTGACACAAACAATGTAAGTGTCTTTGGGGTCTCCTAGGTGGGTGCCTGGGGAGTGGGTCTCTACCCCTCCCCAGTAAGGTTGCTGAGCTCGCTTTTCTTTGCCATGCCTTTCCTTCAGCCCCTGCATCTGGACTACGTGATGGCCGCTGCCAACCTGTTCGCCCAGACATATGGGCTAGGAGGGTCCCAGGACCGCGCTGCTGCGTCCAAACTCCTGCAGACTCTGCAGGTCCCCAGGTTTGCTCCCAAGTCTGGTGTCAGGATCCATGTTTCAGAGCAGGAACTGAAGAGCACCAGTGCCACATTTGGTGAGAATGCTTTGCCATGAGTTCAGGGATCCCATTTGTCTCCTCTCCCCCTTAGCCTCCCCTCTGGTGTTTGCCACAGGCCGTGCCTTTTACTGTATTTCTGAGATTTACCTAGGCTGCCTTCTTTTGCATCTGTGCTTAAGGATGGATGCTTGAAGCGAATTTCTGTATCTCATTTCTTTGCACTATAGGTTAATGGAAATGTTCCATTCCTTCTCTTGTGTGGTATCTTCACAGAAGTCTACTTCTTGTTTCTGTTGATTGGCTTTCATACACCAAGACTGTGATTTCTCCCTGCCCTCTGGTGTCTTGATACCTTTGCTGCTTTGTCTGGTGACAGGTCTCCTCTGTTTTCCCACCGGGGCATGTGTCTCAGACTTTCCTCTGTGCCAGTGCCCTCTGTGTGTCTGCTAGAGACACATCTGGCTTTCTGCACTCCCATCTCCTCCTCCTCTGATATCTCTGAAGAGACTCTTCTCTTGTGCAAGTCTCCCACCGATACAGTTCTCGATTTCCCTTCCATAGTGTTTGTCTCTCGGCGTTCTTTTCTGTATATACTATTTGCCAGAGATTTCCTCTTCAGAATCCTCTCATTCTTACTAGCAGTATGTGTGCTTCTCTCCCCTATAGCATTGCTTGTCATTTCATTCTGTGAACTTAGGTGAATCCCTTTTCCCCCCAGATCCATTGTCTTCATCTTACCCTGTTGAACAACAATGCCTGTTGAACAACTTCTCCTGGCGTCCACCCCCTCACTGGCCCTGAAAACCTTTGTCTGCTTTTTGTTTCTTTTGTTTGACCACCAGCTGTACCCTATTCGTTGAGCCATAGAGGTTGAGTAACTATGCCTGATTTTTCTGTAGCAAATCTGTCTTACTCAGTGTCATGGCTATGCATTGATAGACACCTGCAATTTCCTCTCTTTTGACCTTAGTAGTGTGTAGGTGTGTTCATCTGTTGAAGGATAATTTCTTTGCTTGTGTCCTTTATCTCTTATGGATATGCTACCTCCTTTCGAGTGTGTGTGTGTGTGTGTGTGTGTGCGCGTGTGCGTGCGTGCGTGTGTGTTCATCTTTGTTACTGGGGTTCTCCAAGTCTTCCTGGACTTGTTTGTATTTTTTAACCCCATGTATGTGTTTCCTTTTCCAGGGGACAAGAAAAGTGTTTTCTCTTGTCTCTTCTGGTCTTCCCTCACAACTTCCGGCATGCCTCTCCTTTTCAAACACCTAAGTGAACACCACCCTTCCACTCCTGATTTCACCTTGGGCAAGTGCTACGGGTTCACCAGATTCAATGGTGTTCCTTCACTTTTCAGAGTACAGCCACCTGGAGGAACTCAAGACTTCACTTCCTCCTCAAGACAAACTCGTTGGATTCAAGATGTACCCCATTGAGTTTGAGAAGGTATTTGGTGGGTTTCACAGGATGGTTAGTGTGATGGGCACAGAGGCCTTTGTCAATGCTGGGGGCCTAGAGTGGCGTCCATCTGTTTCATGGAGAAGTTTCTTTGATGAAGGGTGAGAGCTACATCTGTGGGTATTTTAGAATCAATCCCCAGAGTGCAGTTAGGAATGAGGCTGGTGAGGTAAAGAGGTACTAGCAGCTTCTTTAAGATGGCTTAGGGGCCCAGTACTTGGCTTGATTTCCACAAACCACCAATGGTTCCTTTCAGTATGTTCAGTGGATACATCTCCAAACAACTGCCCCACCTAAGACTCAGGAAGGGGGAGGGGGCGGGTGAAAGGAATATAAGATCCAGAGGATAAAGATAACTGCTGCTTTGAGAGCCTGTCACCTTGACGTGACAGTATACACTAGGGCTTCCTAAACAAGACCCGAACGGAGATGGCACCAAGAGACATTTTCCTGTTCAAAACAACTTTTACATTTAAATATATTTTGATCATATTCTTCCCTTTGCAGTTCATCAACCCCTCCTTCCCCACCCAGCTTTTAAGTTCATCCTCAAAAAGCAAAAATGCAGTACGACAACAAAACCCCCAAAACAACAAACCCCACCAAACTGCAAGGAATTAAAAGCACTCACACACATGCTACCTGTTTAGTCCATTATGTGCTGTTCAACTCCTCCTGAACATTATACCTGCCTTGAAGTAGTTGTTAACACTCGGTTGGAGAAAACTGATTTTCCCTCTCTGGGAAGGTACAAATATCTGTTCACTTCATTGCCTTTACCTAATGACATTACTCTTGTACATCATTTATTTTAAGTGTGTGTGCGTGTGCGTGTGTGTGTGTGTGTACATGTGTACTAATAGCAGAATAATATTAAACAAAAACTGTCCAGCAGAAGGCAAATTTAGCTCATGAGAAGGGACATGAGTCAGAGACCCACCCACATGTTTGCACATTCATGAATTCCATCAAAAACACTGATGTGGAAACCATAAGAACTTTGCTTGTGTTGACTTAGAGGGCCTTGTTTGTTTTGATTCGCCAACGCCTCTGAGGCTTGCACTCTTTCTGCCTCCTCTTCCTCAAGGTGTCCTGAGGTCTGAGAAGTGGAACTTCATGGGTCCATCCCATTTAGGGATAAGTGTTCCAAGGTCTCCCACCCTCTGCATAATGTCTGGCCGTGGGTGGATGTCTATAACCCATCTGTCACAGAGGGAAGCCTCTCTGATGCTGGTTGAATAAGACGCTGATCCATGTCGATTAGGGGTCATGATTTCCTTCTTTGCTTTTAGACCAGTATGTGCTTTCACACTGGGTCCCTAGCTAGTCTCAGGTTCTTGATCAGACAGCCAAGCATGGTCTGGTATGGGTTCCTTCTCATGGTGTAGGCCTTACAATCAAATCAGTTACTGGTTGGTTACTCCCGCAAACTTTGTCCCACAGTTTCCCTACAGTATATTGCAGACAGGACGCAATTGTAGATAAACTGTGGTTAGCTTGGTGTTTATCTTCTCTGGAGAGAGTGCAAATAACACACACACACACAGAATGAGAGAGAGAGAGAGGAAAGAGAGAGGTACACACATGTATATATGAACATCCACATATGAATGTATATATGTGTAGGTGTGTAGATGTGAGTATGAGTTTTAGGTTTTTATATACCCTTTTTACATCACCTTACTTTGAGCTGTCTCCCCATAGTCTCCCTTCATTTTTCTTATATGGAGAATCACATTTATTAATTTTTGTATATAGAACATTCCTGCACTTCTGGAATAGAGCCTACCTGATCATGGTGGATGGTCTTTTTGAAGTGTTCTTGGTTTAGGTTTGCAGTTTTATTGAGTATATTTGCATGGTTGTTAAGTATTTTTCATTCACATTCAAAAGGGGACTTGGTCTTTCTTTGGCATGTATGTGGTCTGGTTAGCAGGGTAGCTGCGGTCTCACAGGTGAGTTCTGCAGTAGAGCTCTGTATCTACTCTTTTAAATAGTTTTTCAGGTATTGGCATTCAGTATCCTTTGAATGCCTGATAGAATTACATGCTAAAATTATCTGAACCTGGCCTTTCTTTGGTTGGGAGACTATCATGATTTCTCTCCCACTGTAGATTATAAGTCTTTTTAACTAGATTGTCTGTTCTTGTTTTAACTTTGGTAAGTTAAGTGTGAAGAAAATTATCCTTTTGCTTAGGTTTTCCAATTAGGTGGACCACACATGTTCCTAAAAGCGTGTTTTTAAGCCAGGAAGTGGTGGTGCATGCTTTTATTACCAGCACTTGGAAGGCAGGGCCAAGGATGAGCTCAGTGAGATCGATGCCGTCCTGGTCTACAAAGCAAGTTCCACGACAGCCAGGCTTACACAGAGAAACCTTGTCTGGAAAGAGTAAAAAAGTAAAATTAAAAAGAAGAAAGAAAGAAAAGTATGTTCTTTCTTAAGATGCTTTGAATTTCCTGCCTGTTGTCTTCTTTTCATCCTTTATCTTTTTTGTGAAAAGTTTGTTAATATGAACTGACTTTATTAAAGAACGTACTGTTGTTTCATTGTGTTGTTTGTTTGGTTTTTTTTTCTCTTTTATTGATTCCAGTCCCAAGTTTATTTCTTGCTGTCTACTCCTGTTGGGTGTGACTCCCTCTTTTTTTTTTTCTAGAGCTTTTGTGTGTGCTGTTAAGTTGCTAATAGGAGATTTCTGGGTTCTCATCCATAGGCCTTTAGTGCCTACTAACTTTGCTCTTTGTACCACCCTCAGTGTGCCCTTGAAATTGGCTACGTTGTGTATCCATGACCATTCAGTTCTAGGAAGTGTTTCATTTGTAATTTCTGTCTAGACCCTTTTGTCATTCCGGTAGAGAGTTGTTCATTTTCCATGAGTTTGTAAGTTTTCTATTGTTGACCTCCAGCTTTAATCTGGTGTGATTTCATGTTTGGTACCTGTTGGGATTTCTGTGTTGATCATGTAACATGATCAGTTTTTCACACACCATGGGGTGCTGATAAGAAGGTGTGGTCTTTTATGTTTGGGAGAGATGTTTTATATATTTATTTAATGTTTGTAAGTATATATCTGTTAGACCCCTTTGTTTTGTTTATAAACACAGCGCCTCCATTTTTCTCTTTGTTGTTTTCCTGGATGGCTTGTCTGTTGTTGAATCTGGGATACAGAAGTCTCCCACTATCTGTTTGTATGGATCAGTGTGTGCTCTCAGCTGTAGTAGTGGTAGTGTTTCTTATGAAGTTGGGTGCCAGTGTATTTGGGGCATAGACATTTAGGCTTGAAATGTCCTCTTGTTTGGCTCCTTTTTCCTTTGATGCAAACATAGTGTCCTTCCATCTCGTCTATTAGTTTAGTGTGAAGTCTGTTTTGTCAGACATTAACATAGCTACACTAGCTTGTTTCACAGTTCCATGTGCTTGGAATATCTATCTACATCTTAATACCTTGAGGGGATGTGTAAACTTCCCAGGCATTTCTTGCATGGAAGAGAGAGGTGGATTCTGTTTTCACGTCCCAAAGTCCATTGTTAGCGTGTGTGTGTCTTCTATTTAAGTATGTGAGACTACGTATTGAGCAATATCAATGACCAGTAAAATTTTGTCTTGGTGGTGGTGGCAGAGGGAGGTATTGGTGATAGAGGTGGGTGGTAACGGTGGGTGGTGGTGGTAGGTGATGGGGTGTGTCTGTGCCTGTGCCTGTGTGTGCGTGTGTGTGTGTGCATGTGCCTGCATGCATGCATGCTTTCATGTGAGCAGGCACCACCGGTGCCTCTCTCCTTCCCTTCTATGATTTTCTGATCTCGGGATGTTCACTCCCTGCGTTTTCATGGTTGTGGTTAAACTGTTTAGGTCGCAGTTGTCCTGTCACTTTTTGCAGGGCTGCATTTCTGGATAGCTGTTGCTTAAATATGTTTTCCATAGGGAGTATCTTATTTTCTCCATCTATGGTAAATGAAACTTTTTCTGGGTACATTAATCTGGGCTGGCATGTGTAGTCTCTTACAAGTATATATAGTCTGTCATCTGTCCATCCCAAATTGTTCTCTGAGAAGGTGATTGCAATTCCATTATTCTGCTTCGTCACTTGTCCTTTATCCCTTGCAGCTTTTTAACATCCTTTCTCAGTTCTTCATATTTAGTGCTTTATGTGGTGTGAGGACTCTGGTTTTTCTGGTCGAGTCTTTTTGGTATTTGTTGTGTGTTGTCGTACCTTTATAGGCATCTCCTTTAGGATAGAACAATGTTGTCCTATTGTTTTGTTGGAAACACTTTCTGCGCCTTTGACCTCTGATTTTTCCAACACCTCTATCCTATTATTCTTAGGTGTCCCTGATTTCCTGGATACCTCAGGGCAGGTGTGGATTTTTAGAGTTAGCGTAGTCTTTGACAGAAAGTTTCCATGTCTTCTATGTTATCTTCAACCCCTGAGATTCTCTCTTGCGTCTCCTGTGCTCTGTTAGTGAAACTTCCCTCTGTAGTTCCTCTTCAGGGTCCCAGATTTTTCATCTCCAGATTTCCCTCAGTTTGGGTTTTCTCTATTGATTATTTCTCCTTTGGGTCCTTGCCTGTTTTGTTCATTTCCTTCCACGATCTGTTTGTGTTTCCAGAGGTTACTTTAAGAGATATTTACTAATTTTATCTTGAAGGTCCGCTGTCGTATCTGTCAAGGCTGCTTTATGGTATTTTACTTGTGTTTCAGCCGTGTTGGGACCGCTGTGTTTGGGTTGCTGGGCTCTTGTGGAGACATAGTGCCCTTGCTGTTGTTGATAATGTTTTATGACATCTTGGTATCTGTTGGTGGGGAGGTTGTAATTCTAGGTGCTGAAACCTGCTCTTGTCCTTGTTGGGATGAGCAATTACTTCCTAGGTGTCTGTTCTCGCTCTGCTATTTAGGAGGGTATGGTGGCTGCACATTGCTTGTAGGAAAATCCTCTGGGGTACTGACAAGTGTGGGGACTGGGGTTTGCAGGTAAATAGTGTTGCTTGCTGTTGGGACCTGAGACCTAGGAATTGGAGTAGGCTTGGGATGGTGGGAGGGCTTCTCAAAAGGGAGGGAAGTTAGGTGTTTCACCAGAATCTCATTGCTTATTACCTTTGTTAGGGGGCTGGGGGTGAGAAAGGGGCACTGACCTTGGAAGAGCTGACTTGGAAGGGATGATGTGGAAGTAGCTTACCTGGATCCCTGCTGGGCAGGGCATGCCTGTGGGTTCCCAGGGAGTGCCTCCTGAATTGCAGGGTTGAACAAAGCAACTAGTAGGTTGGAGACTATGGAGGGAAGATCTGTGGAATCTTAACAGAGATGAAGTGGCAGGAGAGGGTGCCACATGTGATCTGCTGCAGAACTAGGAATGAGACTGGCAGATTTGGTTCGGTAGAGCTGAGGGAGATTGGGGGTTTGGACTTGGAAGAATTCAGAGAGAGATGAGGATGTGGTTTAAGTTACACCACATGTTTTCCAGACCAGAGTGTCCTGCATTATCCAGGGAATCCTGAAGTATAGGGCTGAGATAAGCACAAGACAGAGACAGTGGGGTGGGGGGGATAGGGGGATTAGGGGGAGGGGAGAGAGAGAAAGAGAGTAAGCATGGGAGGGAGGGTGGGAGAGGGAGAGAGAGAAAGGAAAACAAGTGACAAGTGTAGGTGTGTTAAGAGGAAAAGCTCTGTGGGATCCACAAGAGATGAGGTCTGGGGTGGGGAGCCTGCTTCACCCATTCTGCTGTGAAGATGATAGTGGGCGACTGGACTCCCACGAGGAAGAGAATGAAAGGGGAAGGTCTACAGTACTATACCTGGTTCCCGGCAGGGCAGGAGTGGCCTGGGAGTTCTCAGGGAGTTGCCTAATAGGAAGGGAGGTGTCTCATGGAATCCAGCCCAGGGACAAAAAAGTAGAGGCAAAGAAGGGAGTCTGAGAGCAGGAGAAGTATTCCTCCCGAGTCTTCTAATTGCTTATTGTGTACAAAGTTGTCAGCCCTGCAGTCATGGATCACATGTAATGATCACAGACTTAGCAAGCTCTGTTTATATATTTAGGGGTATTATTTAAAAGTAACCTGGAAGGAGCCATGCTTTTTCAAGAGAAGAAGCAGGGCTTAGAGGATTTGGGAGTGATTTGAATGAGGAAAGGAGAGAGAGAAATGGCATAATTACATTTGGCTTATTAAAAAAGCAATTTCATGATAATTACAAAAAGGCCCTTAGGCCTTCAGTACATCATGTAGTCACCGGTGTTCTGGGGAGAAATTTGTGTCCTGCAGAGATGTTCACCTTAGTTCTCTACTGAAAACAAGGATGATGACAGCAACTTCCACATGGATTTCATCGTGGCAGCATCCAACCTGCGGGCAGAAAACTACGGCATTTCCCCGGCAGACCGGCATAAGGTCAAAGGAGTTTTACCTACCGTTGACCCTTGCCCAGGGTGTTTTCCTTTGGGTCTTTGGTAGGCCCCTAACACCTCTTACTCAGTAATCCCTGTTTTCACTGTCTGTCTTACAGAGCAAGCTGATTGCAGGGAAGATCATCCCAACCATTGCAACCACCACAGCAGCTGTAGTCGGGCTTGTGTGTTTGGAGCTGTACAAGGTGGTTCAGGGACACCAACAACTGGAGTCTTACAAAAACAGTTTTATCAACTTGGCTTTGCCTTTCTTTAGCTTTTCGGCACCCCTGGCTCCAACCTGTCACCAGGTATGGTGCCAAAAAGTATAGGTAATGTTGGTGTTGCCGTTTAGAAGAGCTGGCAGCATGGGTTCATTGTGAGTCCTGTCTGTCTTCACTAAATCAAACATTTAATGCTGAGGTTGGGGGAAGGAGACAGCTGGGTCTTTGTGGTGGGTGTCCTTTTCGTTGCAAAGATTCCAGCTGCTGACTGACTGATCATGCTCAGTTCAGGCCACAGGAGTGTTGTTGACAAAAGGGCTGTGGTTAATACATGCTAAGAAGAACATTTGGGGTGGGGGTAGCCCCTCTCTTAGCACTTGTCTTGTCCTCCAGTACTATGATCAGGAGTGGACATTGTGGGATCGCTTTGACGTACAGGCACTACAACCTGGCGGCAAGGAGATGACCCTCAAGCAGTTTCTAGACTACTTTAAGGTAGGGAACTTTCCTCCTGGAACTCCCTGTGTGTGGGGAGTTGTTCATTTGCTTTAGCACTGTCCATCTCACAGTCACCACCCCCTTCCGTCTGAACCCCTGCAGACAAAGCACAGGCTGGAGATCACCATGCTGTCCCACGGTGTGTCCATGCTCTATTCCTTCTTTATGCCACCCCCCAAGCTCAAGGAACGGTTGGATCAGCCGTGAGTTAGCCTCTCTGGGCTGGTGGGAGTGGAAGCCTCCTGGGGGATTCTCGGCATCCCACTGAGTGTGCTACTCACACAGTTCACTTTCTTTCGCTGTAATGTGCCTCCTCCCTTCCCTTCATATTTGCTGTCTTCCCTCTTAACTCTGTGTTCCCTGGCTTCAGGATGACAGGGATTGTGAGCCGTGTGTCAAAGCGAAACCTGGGCCATCATGTGAGGACCCTTGTGTTTGAGCTGTGCTGCAACAACGAGAGTGGAGAGGACGTCGATGTTCCCTATGTACGATACATCATCCGCTGACCTCTTACTGACTCTTGTCTTTCAGTTCTGTTAGCCTGTGTCAGAACCCTGCTAAGGTGTGAAGACACCTGAGTCCAGACTTGCTTGTTTCTAGAATTTTTCATACCGCTCTTCACATGGTTTGGCACTGGAATTCACAGTAATAAAATTTTCAGTCTATAAGCAGTGTGTCTTCCTCTCCTGTCAAGGGTGGGAATGCTGTAATCCCGGTGAAGAAGTGGAAGCCTTAATCTAAGATGAGTAGGTTACAGGGACAAAAGTCCAGCAGCGCAGAAGCAGCATGCACGGTGTCCAGTATTCAAATACAATACCGAAGATGAAACGTCCACTCCTGTCATACACTTGTGTTATGCCGACTTTCCCCTTGTTGTGTCTGCTTGGGGAGAACTCACTGTGGTGGCTGCCTGTCCACAGTGAGGTCAGCCCTTTCTTTCTCCAGCCTCGCATCTGTCATAGTGATGTTCAGACGAAGCACAGACCCCAGTTCCGGCTGCTGTGGGTTGGGATCCTCTGTCTTACCTTCATCCTGCCCCTTGATTGTGTGTCCCCTGCCAATTGCTCATCTGAAATAAGGGGATGAAAGGTGGTTATTAGGGATAAAGCCCGAAAGTTGATTGCTACTTCACGTGTGTAGTATTATTGAGTATGTATCTACCTGCCTGTGTTTTTTTGGATTTGCTATTTGCACTAATCTACCTCTTTCAGTTGGGACAGCTCTTTACATTTAGGAGAATTGTCAGGTCTCGGATGCCCTCCCTGTAACACCCATTCACGCCCCGAACCCGGGCACATAACCTTTTTGCTCCTTGAGTCAGAACTGTATTTGCGTGCATTTTGCCATTAATCTCTCTGTGACTTGAGGGTTTCTTGAGTTGAAAATGTTTGATGCTTTGCTAGTCGCCACTTTTGTGAAAAGTGTTCATTCCTGAGACGACGTGATTTCAGGTACCTTGTTTCCTCATGTGTATATTGCATTCCTGTTTCTTCTGCAGTGCCGGCGTCCTGTGTCTGAATGACTGTTGTCTGTATTTGACTTGGAACGTGCTATGAAGAGTTACATTGATTGAAAGACAGCATTGGGCAGTATAGTTATGTGGTTGGCAGGTGTAGCCTCTTGGAGCATCTTTTCTAAGCCCTTGGAGGTCTGAAGTAATTCTGGAGAAAATACCTTTGTGAATAAGTCAAGGGTCACTTTTCCTCTGACAGCGTTGAATACTCTTTGTCCAGTAGTGTCTGCATTTTTCATTTTTAATTAAAATGTCTCCCTATGATACATTTTGGTCTTTTCCACCCCCACCCCCACCCCTCCAAAACTCTTCCTCAGCCCGTAACTTCTCAAACAGTTACTGCCTTGTGAGATAATAGTATTTTTTTTTTCATTTCCTTACCCCTTCCATTGCCTCCCCCTTAATATTCCAATAAATTCCTCCTTGCCCTTTGAAGTTCATGGCTGCTTTTCCTCCCATTAAATTCTATTATATACACACACGCGTGTGTATCTACATCTATTTCCTAAAAAGGAAGTGCTTGCTCACTGTAATGTCATTTGCATGTATGTCTCCTGGGCTGCACCATTTAGTATTGGATAAACAAATCGGTGTGCTTCTCCCTGGGGTGGTCCGTCTCCCCCATTCCCAAGGGGCATGTAGATCCTCTAGGGCTAAGGACTCTTCCAGTCCACATTAGTGTGGTTGTTATTCCTGTTCATCCTTGTTGCGCTCATGTTTAGGCACTCTGATTGGTAAGCTTTTGCCATTCCAAGCAGGACACATTGTCACAGCAGACCTCTGTCTCTTGGGAATCTTTCTTCCCCCCCTCTTTTGTAGTGGTTTTGAGCCTAGGTACAGGATTTGTGTTTGTAGTTATGTCCATTGGCCCCAGGCTCCACAACTGTTTGCATTCTGATTGGGTGTCCTTTTTAGTAAGGTCTCTTACCTGTTGCAGCGGGCTTTCTGTGATCAACTTCTCTGTGGGTTTAGGGATTATGCTGTAGGCATTATTCGGGTTTGAAAAGTGGTGGCTGAACATTCCTCTCAGAGATCTGTGACTTCCTTAGATCTTGGTCTCATTAGCTAGGTTTCCGGACCTGGCGTTTTAAACCTAATGGGACCAGAAGGAACTTTTTGGTCATGTCTATTTTGACTTCCAAATGTCTTCTGTATTTCCATGTGCACACATTTCCCTGGATTTGGGGAGTTTGGGGATATGATTCCACTGAACATGTTTGTTTCTTCTCCTGTGCTTGTTGTCTCCTGGTTCTAGTACTTGGATAATTTTGTTAAATTAGAAACAATCTTATTTTACCTGTCAATCCCAGTTCCTTCTCTGTCCCATCCTCCCATGTCCCCCAATGACCCATTCTCTTTCTGCTTCCATGGGCGACCCAGAGAAAACTCTCTGATCTTAGACACAAGGGAGAGGGTCTAGGCCCTGCCCCAAATGATGTACCACATGGATTCCTAAATGTTCTTTCATTGTATCCCAGAGTTGTTGAAAGTTGTGGTAATACTTGCTGTTTTTTCCATTTGGTATCTTCAGCCCATCTCCACTCCCTGATAATTCATTTCTTTCTGGTTGATTTAGCTGACTGATGATGCTTGCCCTGAGTGTTTGACTTCTTGACCTGTTCTTCTATTCTATGGTTTCCTTCTTTCTCCTTTGTTTTCTTTTCCTCCAGGAGCTGAACTTTTATGGGATTCTTGAATGGTTTTCTACTCGGCTTTTCTTTCTTGTTATTTTGTTGGGTTTTATATATATATATATATATATATATATATATATATATATATATATATATACACATTTTTACTGTGCAGATCTGTTTTGGCGAATCGTCTGTGTGTCATGGATCATTTTAGAAAGTAACTTTAACTCTTTGTCGTTTCAAACATTTCGTTATGATTAAGTTGACTAATGAAGTCTTTCAGACTTTTAGAGGAGTCATCTTGTATGTCTAGTCACATATATGTGTTTTTTAAGTTATAAGATGAATACAACTGTCCTCTGAGTATATTTCCTACTTTTGTATCGCTGCACTGGGGGGCTGTTGTAAGCTTTTCTTCAAGTCACTGTACACAGAAGAACCAGGACTGAGGATAGGTGCAACAAAAGAAAACAGGCCAGATACTTCATTATACCACACAAACATGACCTATACCCTCAGTACTGTAGCAAAGAAAGGAACTAGTGTGCAAGGATAACAGGCTAGGAATTTCAGAATTATTAAGCCAAGATTATAATAGCAAAACAATAAGCAATATTAATGCAATAACAGAGAACTAGAGAGGAACTAAAGTAAAACACACACACACACACTAAGGGATGGGATTGAGACAAACCTTAATTCTAACACTGGGTGGCAGAGGCAGGGAGATCTCTGAGTTCACTGGGCTACATAGTTCTAGAACTCCCAGTGCAACATAGAGAAACTGTTGTCTTAAGAACAAAGAAAAATACACAGAGCATTAGTTATTACTAAAAATAAAATAAAGGAAACACTGGTTGTCAGGATGCCTCAGCTAAAACAGCATGAGAGGAAACTGTTGTTGCAGACAACCTACAAGAAAACACGCGCAGACACAAACACGCACACAGGAACGTACACATGCAAGTGTGGACGCACACACCAGGGTCTTCTCTCCCTGACCCCATATTGGACACAAAGCACTTTTTTCACCACGGCGGGATCCTTTAATACCCTGGGAAGAGAAGTTAAAGTGTCTAATTTCTGACTGGGGCTGCAAACAGCAGCAGAAGAGCTTGCAGATCTTATTTGTAAGAAAAGAAACAAGGTCTGTGTTAGAATGGGCTAGGATGTTTGGTGTATTTTCATTGGGGATGTTAATTAGGGGAGCCAAAGAGGGCCTGTGATTGTTGAAGGAAAATACTTTGACTTGGTAGTCAGCTCAGGAGGAGAATGTGGCCAACTCTAGGAAGAGTTGGTAGCTAGGAATGTAATCTAAATGATTTAACCAGGCAGAGGAATTGGGGATAGAGGGTCCAGCAGAAAGGCAAGGCCCTGCCTGCCAGAGCCCCAAGCTCCAGTGGGCTCCCTTCATTCCCATCTGTTTGGTTTATGTCTTGAGTACGGGGGTTTGGGGAAGTGGCTGCTGTTCCCTCTGGCTGCCTCCAGTTAACATTGGAGCATTGCTGTTAGGGACCCGAGGAAGCTGAGTTGTTGGTCAAGGCCTGGAAGCAGAGGCTGTGTCTGTCAATGACCAGGTTGTATGGGAACATCTGAAGCTAGGGAAGTCTGTGAGGCTGGGTCAGGATGTCAGGAATTAGATTCCCTGGGAAAAGCTGAGGCTGGCTCTGGGTTGCTGAAGCAGTCTCATGATTTGAAATCAGTTGTGCAGATAGAAGAGGGACAGGGGTGAAGTTTAGCATTTTAGGGAGAAAATTTATTCTTTCTTTCTTTCTTTCATCTTGGATGTGCATGAGAAATAGTTTCTTATTGCTAGGTCTTGGGAAGAGGAGTCCCAAGACCAGGGAAAGAGGGAGAAACCCCAACCTAAGGAATAGGCAGTAGGAAGGAAAGCTCAGTGTGTTGGTTGATGGAAATGTGTTTGGAGTTCTGGAGAAGAGCTAACCACATGCTGGAGTGGGCTATTGTCCCCACAGAACCTAGGTTTGATGGCTACTTGCCTTTGTCTTGCCACTTCCCTACAAGTGTATGCTTTTTTAAGGTGTCCTCCTATGATCCGCAACTAATCATCTTTTGAGTTACTCTTCAACTAGTTGCCCCATTGTATGGATTGTATATGGTCCAAAACTTAGTTTTCATACAAAACACACAACACAAAGGCTAACAAGCGGGAAATGGCCGTGAAGGGGGAAACACAATAAATAGGAAAAATGGCTAGGGCTGTGGCTTTTTTCCTAAACTGTTTCCACACCAGTGTGAGACTAGTTCAGATCTCTAGGATCCACAAATGCCAGCTTCCTGATTCCAGCACCTGGATGTTGGATATGGGGCACCTTGGGGACAAGCTGGATAGCTGAGCACTCTGAGTCTGCCAGGTCCATGTGGAACACCCTGTCCCAC